CTGTGCCTCGTCCAATGGGAAGAGATCACTGACCATGCAATGCCAGTTGCTAATGCTTCTTCCACTTGCTCTCAGTTTCTTTATTTATATGGTCTCAGAATGTAACACAAAATTCACAACCCACTGACCACAGTTTAAGTAATGCAGCCATAGTGTTCTATCTTCAACAGATTCTCAGCAGTTTTGGACAAATCTTAGATGATCTTGGTTTTGCACTTTGACCTGAGTGGATCCCTCAGCCTGGGTTCCCTATTCCCCTAGCTTTTCCTGGCTTACCCGTACTTGTCTTTGAAACCTTGCCTTATTTCTTTAAATTGAGGAATAATTCACATTAAAGAAAACTCATTATTTTGCAGTGGAAATGCAGTGGGTTTTAGTACATCGCATTTTTGAGCAACCATCACCACTATTCAATTCTAGAACACTTCTGTCAGCTCTTAATACACCCTATACTCATCAGCAGTCACTTTCTTTTGCCTCTTGCAGTTAAACTCTGGGAAGCACTACTTTCAGTTTCTATGGATTTTCTCATTCTGGAGAATTCCTATCAATGGAATCATATGATATCTAGCCTTGTGTGACTTGGCATGATATTTTCCCAGTTTATGTATGTTGTGGCATATATCAGTTCTTTGTTCCCTTGATGATGAATAATGTTCAATTGCATGGATATGCCATCCCTTGTTTATTTATCAATTGATAAACATTTGGGTTGCTTCTACTTTTTGGCTATTATGAATAACACTGCTCGTAACATGTAATAGTTTTTTATTTTAATTGAATAAAGGACATTTAACATGGGCCTTGTAACCTTTTTCTTTCTATTTTTCTTAACTCCTAGAAATGGTTCCTGAAGGAATGAATATTTAATATGATGAAAATATTTTTAACTATCATCATTTGTTTCTTTGTGGTGAAAGAATCTTTCTTTAAATTCTTTCTTTCTTTCTTTCCATCTTTCTTTTTTTTTGTTGTTTTGTACCAGGGATTGAATTCTGGATCTTGCGCCTGTGAGGCAGGTGGCGGAACCACAAAATTTTTATTTCTTTAAAAATGCCTGCACTAGTTTTGTTGTGGATATGTGTTTTCCTTTCTGTCTTGCATGATGTGGTCCTCTGTGCTTAACTTTGTGAGAATTTTACCAAACTGTTTTCTAACATGGCTGTACCATTTTGCATTCCGACCAGCAATGTGTGAAGGCTCCAGTTTCTTCATATTTCTGCCAACATTTATCATTTGTGTTTTTCTTCTCATGAAACATTATAGACTGCTTAGTGGGCACCATATGTATTTTTCTTCTGTGAACTCCATCTCTCCTCCCAGAATGATCAACCTTGTTCTCTTCTCTGCTCTCAGAAGAATATATAGTGTAGTAAAATCATTAGAGTAGCTAATCTGGGGCAGGCTTTATTATATGTTAGGTATTGTGCTAAGTGCTTCAAATGTGTGAGGCATCAAATCCTCATATCAGTTGGGGAAGTCTGGTCTTACTATACCCAATTTATAGAAGAGGGCATGGGCAAAAAGTATATTTTCCAAAATCATAGACTTACAGGAGGAAAAGCTGGGATTTCAACCCCTGGGCATCTCTGATCCCAAAGCCAATGCTCTTAGGTCTCAGATTTTCAATAAAGGGGAGCTAATAATATTGAAATCTCTCTTTATAACACACTTGGGTTGCTGGCTTTGTGGCCTAGTAGTAAAATGCTTGTCTAGCATGTGCAATGCCCTGGGTTCAATGCCCAGCCCTGAAAAAACAAGTAACCCACATGCAACATTTGGATCCAAATTTGAACAAGTCAACTTAAACAAAACATACTTTTGTAACAACAGCCTGGTGCTTTCCTATTAGAACTAGCAATGCTTCATTCCTGAGGATGTGGTGGAATTTTATCCTGTTTACTCAAGAACGCTTCTATGAAGTACCATCACAGCTCTCATTTTTCTATTCAGATAAGTCTTACATCTAAGCCTTAATAAACTGTCCTATTCCTAAAGTTTTGTCACACTCAGCATTTAAAACCTATGAAGTATCATTTGTTTATCCCCAAACATCTACCAGTCTTATTTGACAGAGGAATGCACTTATTGATTGCACTTTCAAATTTAATCTTGAAGAGGTCTATTTGCAATTCACTCAATGCCTATTTATTAACATTTCCTCTCAAGTTGATTTGTGCAAGAAAGATACTCTTTTCTCTCTACTGATCTCCTCTTTCCCTCTGGGAAATGAGACAATTCAAGATGCTACCTCTAGGGAAACAGTTGCCATCTTCTGTTTTTGCACTTCATTTTCATAACACATAATTATTACCTAATTTAATTATTAGCTGGGAAGCTGAGGCAGGAAGATCCCAAGTTTGAGCCCAGCCTGGGTAATTTAGGGACTGAGAGAGATCCTGTCTCAAAATTTAAAAAACAGGGTTTGAGACGCAGCTCAGTGAAAAGGCCCTAGGTTCAATCCCTAGTACCAAAAAACAAACGGAAAATCTAATTATTATATTACTGGGTGCCTTCTGGTACATGTGCATAGGCTTTGCTACTTTTTAGAGGTATTTCTTAGGCACATTCTTAATTTCGCCATATCTACATTGCCATATCTGAGGAATGGGTATAATAAACCCCACCTTATATCATCGAAATGGTAACTGTGAAATATGTGTATAGATATACATGAGTTTGTGTTCAAAATAGTAAAAAATAGAAGTAGCAAAAGTAAATCTTGCAGTAAAAGACCTCTAGATTATTTGATCATGAAATGCGCCCCTCCCAGGTTTTAAAAACAACACTTCTATGAATAACTCAAGAGTCTATGTAGTACAATTTTCCCTCCTCCCCATTTTTGTAATTCCCAGAAGGAATTCTTACTGAGGCTGCCATATGTTAAGGCACTAAGGATGCTGTGTTGTGATTTATTTATTTACATGTCTGCCTCTCCCTGAGGGTAAGGCCCCTTTCTTACTTGTTTCTCCAAAGCCTAAAAGGTGCCCAGTCAATGTTATTGACTTGAATATCTGTTACTGTCATCGTTGACATGAGCTTGTTACTAAGAACCCAGGTGAGTGTACTATGCACATGGCTCTGAAATAGGGAAGGAGAAAACCAAGCACACTACCTCTCAGGTGGATTGAGAATCCAACATACTTAATGTCTTTAGTTAAAGGGGCTTGTGGTTTACTGTGGGCTTCAGACTGGGCATTCTCACCAAATGAATCTGCTGAGACAGAAGATTCAACTTATTTGAATGATTCTGTGTCAGTATGTCTTCAAAAGATGTTAATAGTCATCTTTTTATTCCCCAATACTGTGTTTTCTTGTTGAGTGTTGATTGAGTAGCTGCAGACTGTTCTTTCTGATTTCAGATAAAACTAGGAAGAAACTGCACTGGGTGTCATCCTGTTTCTGCCTCTGTGCCAGCAGTTTCTTTTATCATGCATGCTCTTCTTCAAGCCATGTCCTGACTCTCTTGTCCTTCCAAGCTCTGCCTTTTCCCCAGTTCATTTCTGTGTTTGCCACTAAAAAATGTTTTAAGGCCTGGGAATTAGAGCACTTGCCTATCATGTACAAGGCCCTATGTTCAATCCTCACTACAGAAAAAAAAAACCCAAACAAAAAAAAAAGTCTTTAGCCTACCCTTCTCCTTTTCATTATGAATAACAAACGGTATCAGTTAAATCCATATATATGGATTCACAAGATAGGGTTATTGTGGGACGGTGTGGTGTGCAGTGGTTCCAGGTCCTTGGTGTCCTGTTCAGAATTGGATGGGACAGCTGCTGAACTTGAAAATGTAACATTTATTTAAAGGAAAAGAAGTGAAAAAAAAGTGAAGTGCAAAAAGAAGAAAAGAGAAGTTACACCCTGCATGCAGGATGGGCCACTGCAGGAACAAGAGGGCCACAGTGTCTGTGAAGTCAATAGTCTTTTATATCCTCTTCTGATGTCTGACCTAGGTTGTGATTGACATCTCTCCATGATTGACAGATCTTGTCCAGCCTCATTACCATAATCTTCTACCTCAGGCCTACAATGGCCGCCTGCAGAGACAGAGGCAGAAGAATGCAAAAGGGCCCTCTGCGTGCTGGAGATCCAAAGGATCCAGTCAAAAGTCAAAGGCCTGTAGCTTACTGCAGAGTTCCGTGTGAGTTCCTATCAGGAAGCTGAAGGGTCTGCATTGGAAGACCCAAGAGTCTCTGCGAAGACTAGAGCTCCTCTGAAGAAGCAGAAGGGAGACTTCCTTCTTCTTTCCCTCTTTATTCCCTCCAGGCTACAAGTCTATTGGTTGGTGCCACCTACACCTAGGGTGGGTCTTCCCTCTTCAGTAAGTCAGTCATCCTCACACACTGACAACTGTGCTGTGCTAAACCAATCAGCTAGGGATTTCTTATTCAAGGTGACACCACAGTTAACTATCACACCAACTGTGCATGTTCACCTGGGCTAATGCCATGTCCCCATGGACTGATGCCAATTTCCCATGAAGAAAGACCTTTCACAGAGGTCAACTGATCTTCCTCAGGGCACATAGGAAGGTCAAAAGTGAACCCATAATCCAGACTTCCTGACCTATGTTTCCCACTAAAAACCACTGCTGTGGGTTTTCACTTTTCACTGTATTTTTATTATTGTTAAAGTTTAGGCATTAACTTCCCCCCCCTGCAAACACAGAGTTTAATATAAAGAGAAGCATGAAGTTTTTTTACAACACTAGGGGAATGGAAATTGTGATGAAAACTGTGAGGGATCTGCAAGTCCCTTTCAGGATTTTCCCAATGAGTAGGTTAAGTACACAGGAAGGGTGGCCTCCCTACCTCCAGGGGGTGGACCCAGTCTATCCGAGGAGGCCACACTCTGGCCATCTCAGAAACACACACAGGTGGTGGTTTCATCCTCCTCTGAGCAAGTGAGGTCAGTGCTGAGGGGGCAGACACCCCCATGGAGCCAGCAGGATGTGGGGAGGGTGATTCGGCAGGTGACACCATTCCTCTTGGCCACCCTGCAGAGACGCCCAGGAGACTCACTCTCAGGACAAATACCAGAGGAGAGAGGCCAAACTCCTAGCCGCCCACCCTATCTTCCTGTAGAAGAATTTTCTGCCATGTACTTCAGGAGAAAAAAAAAATCACATAAATCAGAAAATTCCTCACAAATTGGGTGAGTGCTTTGTGGTTTCTTTTTCTCTTAATTTGGAAAGGATTGATAATGGGTACTCGCCAACTTTATTTTGGTTCCTTTATTTCAGTCATGGTACTATACATCCAGAACCCCGGATGCTGTAGTCTAGGGCCTGGGGAGGCCTCAATGACAAGTTGTGAGTTGTGCTTAATGGAAAGAGCAGGATGGGGAAGGGTAAAAAAATTTCAGAGGAATGTCTTCTTGATCTTCCTTGTCTATTCAGAGATTAATAAGCATGTAAGTGTAATTGAAACTGTAAATATAATTACAGAGCCCACCAAAAAATGCATACACACTTCAGAAAATGAAAAACAGTATGATTTTTTTTAACAGATGGTGTTACTCTCGAATGGGGGACCCTAGAGAATGTCATATATCACAGAAAACCCACTACACTGCTGGCCCTTACAGAAGAAACTGAAAATGCATGTGCAGCAATCTCAGTGGTCAAGGCTGTACTGATAAATTTCTGGAAGCTAATGGCCGCCACTCTGAGCACCACTTCCAATTGTAAAGGCCAAAGGTAATTTGTATTAATCTTGTGATGTCTCATTAAATTTAATATTCAAATATTTATACAAGTTTTTCTTTTCCTGAAGTATGCATACTTTTTGGGGGCATTCTGTGTTGATATCTGAAACTTATAATAAATGAAATTAATTTGAAATGAATCAATTTCTTTTGTTTTACTACTTGGCACTTGGATCATAAAAATTGAAATATTGTGTCCTTGAAGCATGTTTCGAAGTGGTTTTTTTTCCTTTCTCAGAGAATATTTTTAGAAAAAACATTAACATGCAAATTATATGGATAAATACCCCTCCCTTCTTCATAATAGCCTGTGAAAAGTCAGCCCACAGAGGCACAAAGAAAGTCTTATTACTTTTAACCTTTGGGGAAAGCGGGATTATTAACTACTTAGTGTTTAGTTATGTATAAAACTAAAAAAATATATATATACCTATGGCTCAAAACAGCTCTGCCAGATAATATCCCCTTACACATACCAACATGCTTTTTGGACTTTGCTATGGAAACGGCCTGGAAATTAATGACACAGACTGGGAAGAACAAAGAGAGGGAAAGGGGTTTCCTAAAATGTCAGAGGCTCCCCCCTGCTGCCTTTTCCCCAACAACCTGTCAGGGCTTTTCTCCTCTGTGGAACTGGAGTTTCCCACAGGTAAACTGGTTATTTAGTCTTCAACCAGGGCGCCTGCTTCTGAAGCCCTCAGTATAATCTGAAATCAAATGGGGGTTGGGGGTGTGTTATGGTTTAGATAAAAATATTCCTCTAATGATTCATGTGTTTAACAGTGTGGGGCTTTTAGGAAGTGATTAGGTCATGGGGTGCTAACTTCATTAATAGATTATCTATTGGTGAGTTCATGAAGGAAGTAGGTTGCTGGGGACATGTCTTTGGGGGGATGCCCCTTCCTTCTCTCTGGCTCCTCTCCCGCACTCTGCTTCTTGGCCTCCATGAAGTGGGTAGCTTTGCTCCAACATGCCCTTCTGCTATGCTGTTTCTGCTTTGGAGCCGACCAACCCCAGGCTAAAATCTTTCAAACTGTGAGTCAAAATAAACCTCTCCTCCTCTAGGATACATGCGGCAGGTATTTTGTCCTAGCAATAGAAAGCTAACACAGGATACCACCTGACACCAGTTATTACACAGAGAAGTCTTAGGCATCGATGAGGAAGGCGAGGCTTGGCACTTCTGGAGATTCCTCAGGCCAGCCCAATCTCCCTTTCCTCTAAAAGAAAAATGCCATTCCTGTCACTCCCTCATTTTTACAGCAACTTTGAGTCTTATTGTCCATAAGACAAAGTCTAAATTATTTAGTATAACATACTAGATTCTTAAGAAACTGCCACCCACTGACTTCTGCTTTCTCATTTCTTGATGTTCATGACTTGCTTGTCTCAAGGATCCATCACTATGACCTGTATCAGGCTCCAGCACATTGGATTCCATGCCAGAGGCTCCCATCCTAGACCAATCAGTGGACTAATTTTATACCTAATAAACTTGTTCTTGGAACCCAGTCAACTTCTGGCTATTTCTGGCTTCCTTCCTGCACTTGTTTAAAATCTGTATTGTGATGCTTATTCTATTTGAGTGAGATTAATTATATCTCTGTATCTTCCATAAATTTGTGAACACCTTGAAGATCGGGCTTTGTCCATTTCTCACTGAATCCTCATCTTCTACACTGGTCCTGTAAAGAGTGATATTTATGCAAGACATAGAGATGACTCTCTACCATGTGCAATCTGTTTTTGTCCCATGAGCAAATAACTAGGAAGTGGCAAGACCGTAGGGAGAGTTCCAAGCAGGGTTTGTCAAATTTCCTTTCTGCTCTGCTTGGAGTTAAAGTTGAACTTATTCCCATCTTGAAAATATAACGTCAAAGTCAAATGAGAAAGCAACCTATAAACAAAGTCTGCTGGAGTGAGAATCAATAAAATTGGATTCTAGTCCTACTTCTGGCTCTAACTAGTTGTGATCACTAGAGACATTATGTGGCCTCTAACAAATTAAAAGTTTGGTCTAGGAGATGTTGTCTTCTAGGAAATATCCACAATCTCCTATCAGACAAAAGTCCTTAATAAGAGTTTGAGGGAATAGTAAAGTTAAAAGGAACTGGTCATCCTGCTCTTTAGCCTTGTGATAATTATGAAAGTACCAAGTGCAGACCTGGTGAGTGCATTTGGTCCTCTGTATCCCCAAGTTCCTTATCTATAGATTCAGCCGACCTCAAGTCAAAAGTATTTGGAAAAACAAAATTTGCATTGAACATGGATAGACTTTTTTTTCCTTTCTCTTTCCCCCTAAACAATACAGTATAGCAACAATTTATACACAGACTTTACATCATAGCAAGGATCATGTGTATATAGGGATGATTTAAAGTATATGGGAGGATTTCAAGGTTATATGCAAGTCATTTATCAATGTTTATAAGTGATTTGAGCATTCAAAGATATTGGTATATGCAGAGGGTCTTGGAATTAGTCCCCTGCAGATCCCAGAGACAATGTTGGTGAGTTCTCAAGAGGCGAGGGATCCACGCCTCCCTGATACCTTTATCTGTGTACCGCTGGTGGTACAGAAATGATCTTATCCTGTTGACTCTGATCTACAGTTTCATCTCCCTTGAGAACTTTCTCTTCCTTCCCCTACTAAAGTGAGGTGGTAAGCATAGAGCAATGGGAAGAGTGCATCCTAAGTTCTTCTGCACAAGGATTTGCTCTAGGTTGAACTGGATCACTCCAAAAATGTTTAAGTCCTAACCTTTTATTATTTTGGAATGTGACATTGTTTGGAAATAGGATTGTTACAGAGGTAATGAAGTTAAAAATGAGGTCATTTAGAGTGGGCCTAAACCAATATAACTAATATCATTAAAGGGGAAATTTGAACACTCAGACAATGCACCCACAGAAGAAGGAGGGAGATGGTGTTCATGTGATTAGAGCAACGTATCTACAAGTCAAAGATACCAAGGATGGTTGGCAAACACCATAAGCTAGAAGAAGCAAGAAAAGATTCCCTCCAAAAGCAGTCAGAGATAGCCTGATCTTGCCAGTGCCTTAATTTTGGACTTTTAGGCTCTAGGACTGCAAGACAACACATTTCTATTGTTGTAAGACCCCTAGTTCTTGGTTCTTTGTTATGGCAGCATTAAGAAACCAATACAGCCGAGCTTTGCATGGGCTGATAAAGAGTGGAGTTGTTTGTATGTGTGTGTGTTATTGTTGTAAGAAGGTAATTTGCAATATGGGCAGGCAACGCACCAGCTCCTAGGAAACCAAAAGATCCTATTTGTCAGAAAACACTTAAACTCATTAGCAGGTTCCAACGCTCCTTTTTAAGCCCCCTTTCACTCTTCTTTCTCTCCTTACCTTGCTACAACTTGCCTTGCCAAATTTGCAAACTCTCCTTCACTTTCTCTTTCCACCCTGGCATTGGTTCCTTTATAAGGAGCATTTTATTCAAGTGTTTACTTAGAAATGTTAGTGCTACAAAATCTAGTGTGGCAGAAGAGGCTTCTGATGAGGAAGAGAGAATAAGGCTGCCTGCTTATGAGAGATCTGGGGAGGCTCAGACCCTGGTGGCACCAGAGAAAGGAAGCCAAGTAAGGTAAATATTTTCTTCCCTCCAGTTTGTAAATCCTCCTTGTGAAAGTGGTATAATAGATGCTGTATAAGAAGTCTGCTAAATTCTTCCCTCTGGAATCTTTGGGGCTCCTGACATACCCTCACCCTCTGCGTGGTAGAGGGCAGAGAGGCCTCCCTCTGTGTGCTCCATCCCAAGTTTCCACTGAATCTGGGTTTGGGCTGCTTGATTTGAATGAAGGATTGTTCAGCTGTAGCCAGTGGCCCACAGAGCTGCCAGTTCCAACACTTAAAAAATACAGTACTGCTTTTAGAGTAGAGTAGAAGGGCATTGAAGCAAGGATGCAAGGGTTCCTTTTCAAACACACTCCCCATCTGTCCTGACTCTCCTTGGAGGGTCAATGCTTCTTGAAGGCAGAGGGACAGTCCCCCAAACTCCACCATACAACCAAGAGAAATGGGAAGGAAGCTGCTCCATGCCTGCACTTTTGAATAGACCATCAACAGGCAGATTCACTGATAGTTCCTTCTCCATAAACACATCTATCTCAACATTACATTACAGAGTAACCATGGTCTAGATGCATCCCACAGACATCTGGTATGTGCTTCAGGTTGAGTGCTGTGGAAGACATTGCATCTCTGAGATCACAAAGTGTTCCATGCTTTAAGAAATGTGTAGAAATTATATGCATATATCTCTCTACCAAGATGAAATGTAATTATATGATTAAATATTCATATTTTAATTATTGGAAAGAAATACATTAACAAATTATTATTAAAATATTTTCCATATTGAGTCAAATAAGAAAATATAAAGAGTTAGTATTTTCTATTCTTGCAATGAAATAATTTCATTGTTTGTTGGAGTAGGAACTTTTTTTATACAAGACATTGAAATTATTCAGCTGCTTAAGTGATTGAACTATTAGTGAATAAAACCCTTGCTAGAAAGCCAAATTACTTCTGGTGGTCAGCTTCAAAATGCTACAGGAGTCCACAAAGAAAACACAGATTTTTAAAAAAACCGCTTTTGTTTTGCTGGTAATTTCTAGAGCATGGAATAGGATGATCTCTCAGTATTCTCTGGTGATTCTGACAGTTCATTTTGTTCCAACAACAACAACAACAAAACAACACACACACACACACACACACAAAACAAAAGAAATGTAAGACATGCCTTTATGAAGTGCTGGGAGGGTGGTCTTCATATAAACAATACCTATCTCTTTTGGCCCCCAATAACATCTGTCCTACTTGAACTGGATAAACACCCAGAAATGCTTTTCTATCAGACTTTAGAGAAAAAAAAACAATATAAATTTGATAACCACATCGACTTTCTAGATGAACCCCACTGGGGACAGAAGTAACATTCTTATGAGAAAGCACATCATGAATGGGTCTTGCAAAGGCAAAATTATAAGACCACAAGTACACCTCGTTGAAAAAGAAGTGTATTTTCCATTGTTCTAAGTATTTTGTAAGGCAGGAAGATGGAGAATAATATTCAGTGAATCTGCAAAGGAAATAAGCCCCCAAATT